CTCCTGGCACGTGGTGAGGATGACTCTGTCGGCCTCCCTGCGGGGCAGAACCCGTGAGAGCAGCCCAGGAACAGCGGGAGCTCAAACATCCCAGCTCTGATCCCAGCCCAGCAATCCCAGCTCTGATCCCAGCCCAGCAATCCCAGCTCTGATCCCAGCCCAGCAATCCCAGTTCAGCAATCCCAGCTCTGATCCCAGCCCAGCAATCCCAGTTCAGCAATCCCAGTTCAGTCCCAGCCCAGCCCAGCAATCCCAGTTCAGCAATCCCAGCTCTGATCCCAGCCCAGCAATCCCAGCTCAATAATCCCAGTTTAATTCCCAGCTCAGTTCCCAGTTCAGCAATCCCAGCTCTGATCCCAGTTCAGCAATCCCAGTTCAGTCCCAGCTCAGCAATCCCAGTTTAATGCCCAGCCCAGCAATCCCAGCTCAGCAATCCCAGCTCAATCCCAGTTCAGCATTCCCAGCTCAGCAATCCCAGTTTAATTCCCAGTTCAGCAATCCCAGTTTAATTCCCAGCTCAACAATCCCAGCTCAGTTTCAGTTCCCAGCACAGTTCCCATTTCAGCAATCCCAGTTCAGTCCCAGCTCAGCAATCCCAGTTTAATTCCCAGTTCAGCAATCCCAGTTCAATTCCCATTTCAGCAATCCCAGCTCAGCAATCCCAGTTCAGTAATTCCAGTTTAATTCCCAGTTCAACAATCCCAAATTCAGTAATCCCAATCCAACAATCCCAGCTCTGATCCCAGTTTAGCAATCCCAGTTAAAATTCCCAGTTCAGTTCCCATTTCAGCAATCCCAGTTTAATTCCCAGTTAAATTCCCAGTTCAGCAATCCCAGTTTAATTCCCAGTTAAATTCCCAGTTCAGCAATCCCAGTTTAATTTCCAGTTCAGTTCCGATTTCAGCAATCCCAGTTTAATTCCCAGTTAAATTCCCAGTTCAGCAATCCCAGTTAATTCCCAGTTCAGTTCCCATTTCAGCAATCCCAGTTCAATTCCCAGTTCAATTCCCAGTTCAGCAATCCCAGCTCAGTTCCCACTTCAGCAATCCCAGTTTAATTCCCATTTCAGCAATCCCAGTTCAATTCCCAGTTTAATTCCCAGTTCAATTCCCAGCTCAGCAATCCCTAACAAGGCTCCTCCTG